AAAGCATTTGATCAAAACATGTACTGCCAAACCCAATTGATTAATCAAACCACAAAAAACCAATCACCACTTCGGCCTTGCGCTCCGCAACTACACCAACAAAAGCAAAACATGTACTACTTTTTTTAACCCCAACTAAATTATATATATAGGTCGGCTAGATATTCCTTAAACCCTATATGAATAAGAAATTACAAAACAACCCTAAATATAATAATAAACTTAGTTTAATTATAACAAATGTAAGACTGCTTGCGGAAAAAGTGAGAACAGTAGAACAAATTATGGAAATAGTAAAGCAGGAGGTACAATGGAAAATAGAGCATTGTTTATCACAAAGGAGAACTAAAAGTGAAAAGACAATCCTGGATCAGTACTTTTTTAGTATATAATGTATAGAGCAACTGGAATCAAGTAACAGTTGTTTATTTTGTAATAGAGTGAATTTGGTTATAAATATGAACTCTACTGTGAAAATTATATAATATATTTACATTTTACTAAAAGAAAAAAAAAGTTCTATCGATAAACTAAAACTTAAAATCCTAAGGTACGGAAACACGACAGAGAGAACCTCAAAAAAAGTAGAATAATCAAGTTAATTAAATGATTTAATTAATAATTATTGATATGGAGTCTGACATGGCATATACGAATATTATTACAGGGATATAATTTGAGTTTTGTTATAAAATTAATGTTAGGCTACTAATATGAAACTAAGCATAAGAACAAATAGGAGAGACAAGAGAGTAGAGAGGTAAGAGACTTGTATTCAGATGTGTTTTGAAGCATGAATGAGCTCTCTATTTATACAAGAAGCAGGGGATCAAACTATGTGAAATGAATCACGTATCATTAATCCTAAATATTACAGAATCATATATCCTTAATTGTGAATAAATAATACATATTAATGTGGACATTCAATCAAATCAGATTTTTTCATAACACTCCCCCTTTGAATGTCCATCGTTGTGAAACAATGCCTCGTTAAAACTTTACCAGGAAAAACTCTTTGGGATAAAACCCTAGTGAAGGAAAAAGAGTACATTTCCGAATGTGACGCTGCCTCGTTAAAAATCCTTGTCAGGAAAACCCATTGGGACAAAACATCGATCAAGGTAAAAAGAGTATAGCGAGCGGTGTTACTCCCCCTGTTAAATACATCACTTGTAATCTTCTCACCACATGTCCATATGTTGACCAAGTTCACCATTGTTGAAGTCAATAATGGACGGATCACTTCGATTTCTTTGCAGATGATCATCTTCATATACTGGTGTAATCTTGAGTGTTTTATAACAACAGAGATCTATAATAAGCATACCAAGAAGGTATTTATATATACAATTCTCTAATGTCTTGGGTAATAAACCGATACTTATAAGTATTACAATATGGTACTTCATGACCAAATCGGTTTACATTTTATTATAAGGCTATAAAAAAGATTTTATGCACATCAGACCATAGTCTAGTGCGCTCAACAGGTGTTAAATGCATATAAACGTAGGCCAAACTACTATGACCGAGATTCTACCCAAAGTCTTTCATTATTCTTGCTTCAGGCAAGTAGTAACCTTTTCAACTTAAACATGTTTTGAACTTCCTTTTTGAAGTCTTAATAACCGTGATAAACTTTTCAGGAGTTTTAACAATATTCAGGCTATTCAAACTCTGTAATGAGTTTAATTAATATTTAGCCTTTTCAAACACTTTAAAATTTCAATGCTAACCAAATAGCGAATACACATATAATTTATGAAAAATTCATATCAATATCTCATAGAAAATACAAACAATCACCTTACAGACAAATGTAACATATCCGGATAAAACATATAAAATCAAGTGCATAAACGGTAATAACCAAAATGTTCAAAAGTATGCACCTAAATATTTGTCTAGACACATCAAGATACTATAACTTACGCAAGTCTTTCATATTAATTTCTCGAGAATCGGAACCATGTCCCTTATTAAATCCTTCAGGGATTTCATATAAACGCCATTTTCAAATGGCAAATATCAAGTATTGTTTCAAGTGATCACTATATTCACTAGACGCATTTTATTTCTTCATTTGCTGCCAGATTTAGTAAATAACAGAAGAATGAATATTTTCATCCACCACAAGAGAATTTATCTCTAAGTTATTAACATCCGGACTTCAAAAAATTTTTTATGATAAGTTGGTTGCTCATTAATCGTTTGCACAATTATCCAACAACATTTACTCGGTGTATTACCTTTCAAAACTTCTATTGCTTCAAGCAATTCCAAAATGTATGTACAACACATATAGGTGTGTATTGCGTCTTTTCATGTATTATGGCCAATAAGTTTAATGTCCGTATCCAACACAGACTTTTATTTCATGATCCTCATTGTCATTCATTTTACTAACTGCTGCAGCATAATCAAAATTTTATGTCGACATTTTATTGTTGACCGATTCCATCTTTCTTTAATAATGAGATCTCAACAATCATTAAAGTTCCCAAGTGTTTTTATACTTCTTCTGGAAGTTGATTCATCATCGTGGGAAACTATTCAAATTGAAATATTCTTCTAAATTCTAATCTCTCGTATCTTCTATCCATAGATTTAAACTTTGTCATTCACGAGGATTTTTATCGTTAGAATCGATAGTTCTACCACTCATCAAATAGACATTTAGCTAAAGAATAGTGGTAGATAGTCCTTCAGAGACACATTATCAAATTCTGCGTTTTAACAGCCTTTCATATATTTACACATTCGGTCAAGTAAATATCTGGTCTTAAATATTATCTCTTGAACTTCAGGTTCATATCATGGAGATCTGATGAGACAATGCTCTACTGTAGATGAATTCATTAGTCCTGTTGGCATATGCTCTACCGGAGCATCTAATTGTTTCGTGTTTATCATTGACTAGCATCATCTTCAGGGCGATTAATAAAAATCGAATTATGATTTGTTAATTCATTGTCAACAGGACTAATGAATTCATCTACTTTCAATAATATCTTGAAGATATCAATAAGATAATTGTGGGTATACATAACATGTGAACCCAATGATTTTATGCCACAATGATAGCATTTGCAATATACTACCTTTCAACTTCATATCGATAGTAGTGTTTTTACTATTTTTCTAACTTCAGGTGATTAATAATGTATTTGTTAGAATTAACACTATTATTATTGCATGATCGTTGCATTTACTTCAGGAAATGGACTATATCTAAATTGAATATGTCTTCTAATTAATTATCCAACTTCAGGTGAAGAATAGTATATATACATAATTATTATAGATTTAATGTCTACAATTTGCCTCGAAATAATTTACTGCCCACTCACTTCGGGGAATGGAAGGAAATCAATTCATAAGATTTCATCAAATATTTCGCTATAATGCTATAACTGGAGCGATTATGGTTTAATTGCTACTTCAGGAGCATTTTTATTTTGTTATCATTAATCTTTCACTTCGGGTGAAAAATTATATATAGTAATTGTTCACTTGCTTCAGGAAGTGAGAAATTCCGAACTAAGGGTGATAAATTTTCATGAAAAACTACCAATAAAAACAACAAAATACCATAATGCTAAATTCATGTATAGGAGGCAAATAATGAACAAAACAAGCCGCACAAAACAAATAAAAACCAGTACTAACTCAAGTATGTATGTGGACAAAATCAATTTGTCTTGATTTCCCACTATGTTTTGATATGCATAATATACAACATTAATTCATGCAAATGGAGGAATAATTCAAAAAATAAAAATTAATTCAAGTAAAGACAAAAACTAATAAAGGAGTAATAATTCGACAACATTAATTCATGCAAACTGATCATGCTAAAAAAAATCAATGAAGCAAAGGCCTAATATGTAAACTGGTAATTCGCACAAGGCCTAATACAGACTGAACCAAACAGAGCAGACCGAGAGTATAATAACCACACAAATTTGAATGACTCCAAAAAAATTGATTCTAACTCAGAGTCATTGGGTGGAAGCAAAGCTCCAGAAAATTTTCAATCACAAAAACTAATTATTTACTGAAGACTTCAGGCTTTCAGTATTAATACACACGAACTTCAGGCAGTATTATGATAAAACTCTTTGGCTAGAACTTCGTGCTGATAACGTATTATAAAATTAATGCTAGATTACTAATATGAAACTAAGCATAAGAACAAAGAGGAGAGACAAGAGAGTAGAGAGATAAGAGACTTGTATTCAAATGTGTTTTGAAGCATGAATGAGCTCCTTATTTATACAAAAAACACGGGATCAAATTATGTGAAATGAATCACCTGTCATTAATTAATACTAAATATTACAGAATCATATTACACTGAATATCTTGATTTTGATATTTTCTACCATTTTCTCAAAAAGCCTTAACTTGTAACACTAATTTAAATTTAGGGATCTAGGATAAAAGGAAATTTTTTTATCCCTTCATAAAAAAAACTCTTGCTCGAGACAATAGAAAAATTTTTTTTTTCCCCTTCTTTTTGACGGATTGCAATAATTGATCCCTGATCGATCTGCCAAGTTTTCATCTTCATGTGTGAGGATTCGTCCGAATGAAGAAATGGTTCATCAACAAAATGGTCTATGATGATTATCAAGACAATTTCAAGATAAATCTTTATATCATGGACAATGGTAAAGCAAAATCCAAATCGGTAAATTTACTGAAGCTGATATACATATGTCTGCCTTCTTTGAAACCCCAAAATACCAAAGGAATGCTACACGATCTGTCACCTATTAAACGGCAGAGATAATGGACGAATTATTAATGTTAAAAAAGAAAATAATTGATGCGTAAATGAATCAGTTCTAGGAAAATAATTTAACTACAAAGTCTAGCAAAGCGATTCAATTAGGTATCAAGAAAATGAAGATGGAGAACAATTGATATGGAGAGATAATTAACTCTGATAACTTTAAGCTACATACATCAAAAGTAGCAAAGGAAGCTACCCGCGAAAAACAGAGGCATCAAGATACTAAATTTTACATCCAAACAATAATTTTACTCACTCTTGCTGGAGATTCGTCATCCATTATAAAGTGACTACAATCCGAAAAGACCGATCTCTCAGACTGTGGTCTAATAATTGAAAATATCAAAGCCCGTTTCCAAGGTCATGTCCAATTTAAATGCAATTGGATAAATCCGAAATTCAATTTTATTCCTCATTGTTTAGCACAATTTATAAAGTCGAAAAAAGACTTTGAAAAATATTGAGATACCACTCCCGAATTTGTAACTCATTGCGTGTTGGGCGCATTCCCAGCAAATTAAATAAATTTCACTTTATCTCTCTAAAAAAAAAAAGCTGCTTTTGTCCCGGTAACCGGAAGGTTGTTTGCATTCAAGTAGTATTTCAGCTCGGCCACAGTCAAATCCTTCAACTGTAAATCAAAGTGAAAACCAAACAAAGTAATGTGCTACCAGTTGAAAAAGTAGGTAATTAATCATCACTTAAAGTTCCAGGTTAAAACACATTTTAGATATAAGGTTCAGAGAACTAAAGACTGGATATACTCCGTCCCATAATTATTGTCCACTTTGTCCAAAAAATTTTGTCCCAAAATTATTGTCTAATTTGACTTTTTATGGATCAAGTTACACATTTGTCCTTAGTAAAAAATATTATCCATAAAATCTTAGTGGTTAAACAATTACTTATATAGGGGTATATCCAGTTGTTTAAGGTAAAATATAGTTAAATTTGACCAAAAATAAAATCTTTCATTTTAGTAAAACTGGACAATAATTATGGGACGGAGGAAGTATAATATATGAGCAAGTAATAATCAAACGATCAAAACTCACCTTCCCACTGTCTGCAAGTTCAGACCAATCATACTTTGCGGACTCCCTGCTTGCATTCTCAGCAGTTGCCTTCCGTTTTCGAGAAGCCTCAAACACTTTCCCACTGGTTGCTACATCATTTTCTTCATAGTTTTCACCATACACTGAAAGCTTGAAACCTTCCAAAGCTTTGACAATCCATGGCCTGCAAGAGTGAACCAAGATCCAATCAGCAGCTGTAGTTGGCTGCTAAGATATCATCCAAAAAAGCCAACAAGGAAATGTTACACTTCAGAACTATCTAGTACCTGGCCATGCCTTCTTCATCAGAAAGTGTTTCATCTTTGACCTCAGGCATCTCATCTTCATCAAGTAGCAATATTACAAAAATTTCACACCTAAGAACCCATAAAAATATCTCAATCATGTACATTTAAAATGAAAATATACTCTTTCTGAATTCATTGCTCAATTCCTGAACATGAGCTGGTATTAGATGGCCTTACAGCTCCAAAAGAAAGAAAAAAAAGAAGAAATTGGATGAACCACAAATGTACTCTAAAAATTGGATGAACAAACTGACAGAATAACATCAAGAAAAAGAGAAGTGTGAAGCTGAATCTGTCATATTTATCTTCTTCATACCAACTCATCTAATGAAGAAAGATGAAGGCGCTATGTATTTACAAGATAATTGCATAATTTCACTGATTTTAAGTATTACTGATTCTCTTCTTTTTTTACGTGATCCAGAGTTTGACAGCTCAGAGTTGGCAAAACTGTTTAGACTAGTAACATAAGGGGCAAAGAATCGGAATAGCAATTTCACAAGTTCAGACAAATCTAAAATGGTTTGGCACCAATTAAAAAAATGAGATTCTTCAGTGCCCCCCAAGGTTGTTCACCATTGCATGTTTAAACATGTTATAGGGACGTAACAAAAAACCAAATGAAATGAGAAAAAATTCCCATATTAAAGCACCAAATATGGCAGGATAGAGAAATAAATACTTAAAAAAGATATTACAACTCAGTTATGAGTTGAATCTTAAAGCTTAAAAACTTACAGTTGTAAGGCCAGAAGGTTTGCTCTGATAGCTTCAAAGTCAATGCTCTTGCCACAAAAACCAAGTTTTCTAGTATTTGATAACTTCCAGTCCTGCAATGCCATCTTCTCACTTTTTAGTTTAAGGGTTTCAATGTTTTCTTTTACTTCATCAGCTTAAAGTTTAACGAAGAGATACATGTACTAAAAGAAAGAAGATAAAATAAACGTAAGGAATTCAGTCTAGTTCCTTTTGGAGATCATACTCATTTGGTAAAACCCACTGCTATTCATTCAGTTAACCATTAGTTGTGCACGCCTCCTTACAGTATTTACCTAAAACAGACAATTGTCTGCCCTTGAGCAGGACATAAAAAAGCATCTATGTTTTTAATCCATGCTACACTTTTATTCAATTTTTGTTCATCATTAAGCAATAACTGACGCCATTCGGGAAGTGCTCAACGTGTTATAAGAACAAATTGCTTAAGCAATAAAAATTCAAATTCTTAGTAGTAGAAAGAATAGAATCAGCTTATAAATGAAAATCCTGTCCAAAAACTTGTAAGAAAGCCTCTGTCCATGCTACTAATGTTATCTAGAAGATAAAGTTAACCAAGAGATATCTTCCTGTACATTTCCATCTTCTCCAATACTCAGGTAAACCAAATGAAGATTGTGGGATCACTACACAGACACAGGACACCTCACTCATTCAAGAGAAGCTGGCAAAATTCAAGAGAATCACCTCACTCTACAAGAGGTTTGAGGTCAATATGAAATACCATGATACTAACATATCTTAAATATTTCATCTCCCACAAGCAACTTGGCAACCGAATATCAGAGGTTCCTCTTTCTCCCCATAGAATGAGTGTTTCCAAGTTCTATAAATTAGATATTGACCTTGGAACATAAGAAAAAGAGCCACGTAATGCCAAGTATCTCAAATGAGTGTTGCATAATACTATTGAAGGAAACCGTGAGGCCGGCAAATGCACACAGAGCATATTCAACGCGGTAAGGACTCTAAAGCTTCTAAGGAAACAGAGCAGGGGTTCTAGAGGTATTGTTTGACCTGGTGAAAAAGACAGAGAGTGAACTTGATTCATGGGCATTTCCTTTATAGTAGAATTAGATGTTAGGTATGTGGAAGGTGCAGGATGGGCGTCACGATTGCAAAACCAATGGTGGTGGAAATTATACCTTCGGGGACTATTTTCATAAGATTCATCCATAACGGCCCTGTGGTCTGCAAAATGTAAGAAACTATTGGGATAGTAGGCCTCAGATCAGGAGGATATTGGGATGGATCTTGAGCTAGTGGTTCCAAAATTTTGAGTGCAGGATCAACACAAGTGCGACACCTTCTCAACTTCCACTCCATGTTGATCTCACACACTCGCAATCGTTTTTTTCTACTGCAGAATCAACAAAGGAAACAAAAACCCGGTAGAAAACTTGTTTTTAGCTAGTGCTTCGTTTCAGTTTTTACTTCTGCTGCAGAATCAGTTCTTTTTTTTCTGTGCATAAAGTTCCACGGACAAAACTACAAAATACAGAAAACTTGACCAGTCATACTCACAAACACGTAATATGCATTATTTAACTTTCCCTATGAAAGTGAGAGGTTAGAAGTTACTAGTTAGAAAATCGTAAAAGTATTGTTGCATACTGCATGCCAAATTGCCAACTCTTTTTGAATTGATGGAATACCAGAAACATAAAGTACATACATTTGTTCAGTCAACTTTGTCTTCCCAGCCAGGGCGGAACCCTTAAGGGGCTCGGGGGGTCTGACAGCTCCCGGCTGGCCGGAGAGTCCCTTAGGGGCACCTATGCTGAGCTTCGCCACTGTATGTCAGCCCCTCCGATTCTGAAAAAAGAAGGGGACTTGAGGAAGAAGGTGAGCTGTGTACCCCTTTATTATAATCTGATTAAAACAAAATTCTGCTTATATTTAGTTGTAGCCCAGCCAGTTTATGTTTTAGTTTCATATAACTATTAACTCCAGTCCAGCCCAAGTTTCCTTCCTTTTAGTTTTCTAAAACCCCAGGCCTTACAGCCCACTATTTGACTAGTAAACAGCCCAAACTCTTTGTTTCTTTTTCCAAACTCTTTTTTGTTTTTGTTTTTTTTTTGTGTAATATACCAAACTGTTTCTTTCTTATTACTAATTCATAAAAAATAAAAATGTCAACACTTTAACTAAAAAATACCCAAATTCTACTTGCAAAATAAACTTAACCTTAGCTTCCTCCATTGAAGGAAGCCAACTCCGCCTTTGATTACAAAGTTCGACTGTTAAATAGCAAGTCCCTAAATATGAAAGGCTGGTTCCGCCACTTTCCTAGCAACCGAAAGGGTTATCGGATGTCCCCGACAGGACACCGAAAGGGTTGTAATTTAATGGAAAAGAATAGGTTACAGGTTTAAATTTCAGAGCAATTTGAATTCTTTTGGCTAGTTCTCTTGTCTACGGCACCCTGAAAGAATGAAAAAAATAAAAAAATAAAAAACACTATCTTCTCATTTATTTTCTTTGATATTACTGTTTGTCTTGAAATTATTATGCAGTTTAAATTTTCACTTTTAATTTAATTTTACTAATGATGAAAACACAAATTAAACAACAATTTCGAGGCAGAGGAAGTATTTTGCATCTAGTCATCTGAAATTATGCTCTGCGTGATCCGGATTTGAATCAAATAATGCGTTTAAAAGAGGTTAAATTTTACGAATCCATACTTCTTCGGTTCTAAAATAAGTGTTATTCTACCACTTTTATACCGTTTAAGAAACACTTAAATGAGGTTGATAATTTACTAGAATATCTTCAACTAACCCCACTAAAATAAATTCTTACCAATAACATTATTTATTTTGAGGATAATATTAGAAATTAATGACAAAAAGTGCATAAAAATTAAAAAACAACACTTATTCGGAATTTTTTTTTCTTCTTATTAAAATGATACTTATTTTATAATTATTTTATAATGGAGAGAGTGTTATTTTATGAAAGGGGACAGCCGACGGTTATTTCAACACCAAATTTGGGCGGCTTTTCATATGTTATGTTTGTAAATGTGGAACTCCAAGCATTATTTCGAACACACATGAAAATCACCAAGGTGTTATTTTCTATCGTGAAATATGATGTGTATTTTGAATTTTGCTTTTTTTTTTTTTGCTTTAATTAACAAACCAACAAAAAGTCATTTAAAATTTCTGGTTAGATTAATGTTTTGAGTATTCTTTTTCTGATTCCGTGGAAGATTACGTCGAAAAGAAAAAATATAAAATACTAGTAAACGATATAAATAGTGACACAATATGTTACGTAAATTAGATCAGAAACTGAGAGCGGTGTGAACCAACTCTATTAGCTATAGTACAAACCACTTGCGGAAAAATAAATCTTCACACATACACATTGAATAATTAAACAAAAATTCACAAGTTGGCTTTTTCTTACTTCGAAGAATGACAAACATGCACTTGCTTTTCGAGTGTGAGACTGAGAATTGATTGAACATGAACCCTGATTTGGTTTGATTCACTGCTATTCTGTCCCTTTTTAGCATCTTAAAAGATTGTTAAATGATTTGGTCATTTAACAAAGATAATGGATTTTAGATGTTCAGTTGAAGAGATAAAGAGGAAGAAGCATATGGATATCCTACTATATTAGAAACAAAAACCTCCCTTTCAAACACCTCATATGATTGCCACGTGGCATGTAGAAAATACTAAATTGTCCTTTTGTCTAACCATAACTAAATTACTAAATCTCCCTTTGCACTTTACGTGACACTTTTTTTTTTTAATTTTTTCTTTATGTTTCATTCAACTAGAGTGGTTTTTTAAATTGAATTGATCAATTAGGTTTTTTTGTTACAAAGTGTCAATTTTGTTTTAAGCGTATACCCTTCGGATGAAGCTTATTACAAAGTTATTAAAAATCTCCAAAACTAAGTATTGATTTGGCACGACCAATGGAAAACATCAATAAATCATCTTACTAATATTTAAATTTATTAGGATGCTTTTATATTTTATCTAACATTTACTTCAACACATATATTCGATTAAGCTATTTATATCTAATAAGTAACACTTATAAAACATTTTTAAAACATACAGGGCGAAATACAATTTTATTTTTTTTTTTGCGAAATACAAATATTTCTATGATCACACTTATAAAACATTTCTAAATCCTTCAAAAATTTCTAAAATATATCGCTCCAAATACAAAATTTTATTTTTTTCAAATATAAATATTTCTAAGATCTACAGATAAACTGGGCCAGGATCGCGCATTGCGCGACCAGACATCACTAGTATACAAAGGATATAGAGCAGAAGAAGATGAAAACAATTATTTTTCCTTTTTCTTTTTCTCTATTGCGGAAAAAATTTAGTATCCCTCTCCAATAGATAACTACCCCTTTGAGGAAGTTACCCCTAAAATAATTAAAATAACAAGGATGCGAGATCATATTCACTTGGGAAAGTTAACGATTTATTTTCTGTCTTTTCTATTGTCATTTTATTTTTCTCCAGTTGAGGTGAGAGTAAACAAGATTTTATTATGCGACAATATATGTGAAACTCAATTTCCTCCTGTTTCAAAATGATTATTTGTTTCGGAGCGGAAGGATTTATATTTATTTTAATGTTCTTTTAACAACAAAATCATCAACTAGTTCCTACGGCTTTGGCTAAATTATAAAACGTTTGGCGTCCTTTTTTCACTTCAAGTTAAAGATGTAAATGAAAATGATGCATGTGTGTATGGCTATTTCACTGGAACAAAATTTTTAGCTATATACATCAAAAGTAGCCAAGCGCCTACCCGCGAAAAACAGAGGCATCAAGATAGCAAATTACATCCAAACAATCAGATGGTAGATATAAACCGTAACTTGACTCATTTTCCCATGTGATTCAGGATCCTACTTACTAACGCTGCTTTTGCCCCGGTAACTGGAAGGTTGTTTGCATTCAAGTAGTATTTCAGCTCGGCCACGGTCAAATCCTTCAACTGTAAATCACAGCGAAATCCAAACAAAAGTCATGTGCCACCAGTTGAAATAGTTGGTAATCATTCATCACAAGAGTTCCAGGATTAAACACATTTTATTTTACACAGTTAGCAATGAAAAAAATCCTTTCTCTGAATTATATGGTTGACCTAGTGAACTAGACACAAATCTGGATAGATCATATCAGTAACTAGTACAAAAAGTCAAAACTCACCTTTCCACTGTCTGCAAGTTCAGACCAATCATACTTCTCGGACTCCTTGCTCGCGTTCTCAGCAGTTGCCTTCCGTTTTCGAGAAGCCTCAGTCACTTTCCCACTGCTTGCTACATCAGTTTCTTCATAGTTTTCCCCATACACTGAAAGCTTGAATTCTTCCAATGCTTTGACAATACCTGGCCTGCAAGACAGAACCAAAATGCAATCAGCAACTGTAGTTTGCTGGTGGGATGTCGTTCAAAGAAGCCGACAAGGAAATCTTACACTTCAGAACTAGCAAATACCTGGCCATGCCTTCTTCATCAGGAAGTGTTTCATCTTTGACCTCAGGCATCTCGTCTTCATCAAGTGCTAGAGCCTGCAGTACAGCATAATGCCTCTGCAATGCTGCAATAAAAAGGTTGGAAAAAAATTTTACTACTTCAGATGTGTAGCCAAAACCTGAAAAGTAAAGCCCAACATGCACTCCGCCCCTTTACCAAAATTACAAAAATAAAAAGGAATCCGCCATGATTAAATTTCCAGAAGATGCTTTTGGTAACTAATATAACTTACAATATAACAAAAATTTCAAACCTAGGAACCCTCCAAGTCATCTCAATCGTATTCTTTTAAAATGGAAAGTGAGAGAGGTAAAGGCTATATATCTGCAAGAAGATTTGAAGGGAGAATTGGCTGGGAAGGGAGCTCTGTGATGGGGTGATACCCATAAATGAAATACTGTTAATTTAATGTGATTATATGTATGTTCTTGTCCTGTTATATGCAACAATTTATGCAATTCAGAATTTGACAGCTCAGAATAGGAAAAACGGCTAAGACATTCAAAGTGGCGAAGGACTAGCAACTTCATGAGTTGGATGAGTAATCTAAAATGGTTCAACACCTGGTAACCAAATGAGATTATTCAGTGCCCTCCAAGATTGGTTGTCCTTGCAGATTCAAGGCAACAAAAATGGTACCATAGGAAAATGAACACAAAAATAGGATATACTCAGTTATAACCTACAGTGTTAGAGCTGAATAACAGCTAGTGTTGGGCTAAAAGGTTTCTTTTTGACCTAATCTCTGTTACTTCATGGAAAGAAGAGGATTCTAAATTCATTTAGAAAGCCAAAGCACTTCAAATTTTATCTTCTCGCATGTTAGTTGAAGTAATTTAATGTTTTCTTTTACTGATCAGTTAAAAGTTCTTATGACTACGGAGGCTTATGTACTCAATTTTCAGAGTTGGAAAAAGATTACGATTTAAAGATAGTTATCAATTCGTGTTATTAAATCCTCTATCATTCTAAACTGCTAACAGTACAAGCAGACAAGCAAGTTAAAACGGCATTTCAATGTCACATATGACAACATTCCACTATACCTGGATTCGAAAATTGGCACACTGAAAAGTCTCTCAAGTCTACACGCCGTACTAAAGCAGCGGCCTTTTGAGCCTGATCATCAGTCGTTCGAGGTGCCAAAGCATCTGTTTCTACATGAAGCTGCAAGCGAATTCGAGGTGTTGTTAGATACCAATACCTTATGTGGACTGACAAGTATATATGCTCTTCTTACATCTTCAATGTGTCTGATGTCATCAGAATAAGGAAGGTGTATCATATGCATCCCTGGTGGCTCAACTTGTCCCCCACTACTGATGATTTCATCCTGCAATTCAACAAAGAGAAACATACATGTAGTGAAAAGAAAGAGGATGAATTAAATAAACCACAAAAACAAATTTGTTTGGTTCCTTTCAGATATCCTAATTTTGTAAAAGACAATGCAACTCATTCGATTTTTCCCTTTAATTGTGCATCCTTACAGTATTTAGATAAAACAGGATATTTAGTACTCTTGATCTTAATAGTAGATCATGAAGCAGTTGCTGACTGCATTTGAGTAGTGTTCAACAGATTATTATAAGAACAAATGGCATAAATAGAAAGATTCAATTACAATAGAAAGGATGAGTCAACATAAAAATGAAAATTCTTTTAACAAATTACAAGAAACCCTCTGTCCATGGAATTCTTGTCATCCACAAAATAAAGTTAACCAAGTGATAACGGGCTTCGCGTTTCCATCCTCCCTGATACCTACCGCCACATAAACTCAACAAAGATTCCGAAATCACTATACAGACAAACACACATATGACCCCTCGCTCATTGAAGAGAACAAAATTTGTAGAGGAACTTGGTTAAGAAATGACCATCTTACTTGTGCAAGCAAGGCGACCAACCTAGGATTAGTGGAACCTCCATAAAAGGCAAGAGCGAAGCTGCAAATTAAAGAGAGATGTATAGTGTCCTTCAAAAGAAGTTCGCCAAAAGAAGAAAATGTAAATGTGCATTATCAGCAATGAAATCTAGACCCTTTTATCATATGCATCTTCTCTGATGTGATGGCAAAGAAGCCTCAGTTGTGTTCATTTGATCATGGCATTTTTTCGGTCTTTAGATTAGAATTTATTTTGGAGAGTAAGAAAGTGTGTTGGAGGGAAAAAAATTTTCAGTTCTGTGAGGAGAATTTCAGAGGGAAAGTAATTTTTAAATTTGAATATGAACATAAGTGGATCTGGATCTTTTTAACAGACAAAAAGTGAACAAGTGGACAAAACAGAGGTCTAACATAATTAAACTTTTAGAAGCTATAAGAAACATGGGAACACATATCAACATCTCATTATAGGTCATTTTGATCATCAGCTCTTGAATGATGTGATGAGTCACCACATTCTAGACAGAAGGTTTGGACAAGTCAAACTAGCATGCTCTATATATTTCATTTAAACAGAAATCCACAGAAACAAAAACTGTGAAATGTGCATAACTTTGCAAAAATACTTTTTTTTTAAAAAAATTTCTGGTGGAGACTTCAAGTAGAACTAAAACTGATGCTATTTTGGCAATTTATTTCATCATGGTACATTTTGAGTAGTTTCAGCAGAAAAGCTTTGGATTCTAACTCGTAACACATAATTGGAGATAGTCTCGCTGCATGGAATAGAATAAAATTTTATAAAATAGAAAGCACAATAAAAAAACTTTAACAATAAGTATTCAAAGGAAATAGTTAAGAATACAAACCGATTAAGCTGCAACATGGATCTATGCAGAGCAACAAAAACACAAGTACTTCCAAGAACTTCCTGCAACAGAACTATGACAAGTGAATACTGAAGAAGTTCAAAGCAACAGAAGTACACTAAAGGATCTACAGCAGGACCCAAAGAAAAGGAAAATAATAAAAAGAATCTTCCCCAAACCTATGAGCATTCAGGTACAGTTTAGTCTATAGTTGCGTCTCTCTTATTTATCCCCTAATGTAGAACTACTCTAAGTAAATGTTCTATAAGGAGTTTATTACAAACAGGATGATTATGTTTGCAAGACGATTTTGCTTAGGTTTTCGGAAGAGAAACTTTTCTTCGAATAATTGAAAGGGAACATTCCATTAGAGAGAAAGAAAAATAGATTGTTTGAAGAAATGAATTCTTTCAAAAAAACATGAGCGAGTATTTGAGCTTAGAAATTTGATCTTAAATGAGGAACCAATGGTTGTTTCACTCTTTCCTTGTCTAGGGAAAAAGAGCTTTCTTAGAGAAGAAACAAAACAAACAGAGAAAAAATTTTAGATTTTATATTGGTTAGGACTCTCTTACAAATCAAAAAGTCCATACATTTGATTCCTAATTCCAAAGTTCTGCTAATATTTCTAACACCTTTAACAAGCTGCATTAGACCCCAAAGCTCTTACACTGTATCAACTGAAAATAGTACAATATCTATCTACCCACATCTAGATTACAATAAATTAAACTTGAACAGAGCATTAAGGATCATGTTAAACTTGACATTATAAACAACCATCTGAATACTGGTCCTTAGATTCAATCCTTTCTTGTTGCTAATGACTAAAAGTAAGTTTCTTCCTTATTCTGAACCTACAGACATGAATGACTTCAATATACCCTGTAAAGATACTCCTAGAAAAGATTTTCAGACTAGACTTCTCATTTCTGTATGTTGGACCCCACAGAACAAATCAGCATATACAAAGAACCAGGAGAAAAACTTTGAAAGCTTTAGAACCCAGGGGAGAGTTAGATCCTAAACCAATTAAAATAACACAAATATGTATGTGGAATATCATCAGGGAATTGTGACTTAGGAAGCATCATAACAGATTGCCACCAAACCAGATATGTCAAAAGCAGGAACTATATTTGGAGAACCAAAATCACGTGCTGAAGAACAATAACCTCGTCACTGGGAAAAATAAATGTTGATGGCTTCAAGTTGTGATAATCTTTCAAGCAACTCAAGGGCTTGAAACCAAGAAGACGAAGATGGCCAGTTGAGACTCTTTTAATTTCTGAAACCTCATCCACTGAAAGCATGACATCTTCACTGAAACAGAGTAAAGCAGAAACATTGAATCAATCTTTTATACACATTCAATAGTGAAAAAAATAATAATTCGTGCAACAGTCTAAATGGGTAGATTTAAATGGTTGCCAAAAAGCAACTTCAGGAACAATTTAATTATTTAGATCATCGAATTTAAACAAAAATGCAAGAGTTTTAAACAATAGTTTGACTTTATGAGTTATATTACCAAACTAATTCAAGCCTGGAGACAGAAAGGCTACGGCGGGCCTTCGTATAAGAAACCGAAAATAAGGAAGAAACAGTAAAATTTTCCCATGCCTCACTTCTTATAAGATCAACAATTAGATACAACAAACTCACTTCTTATAAGACTGAATACGCTGCGCAGAGTCCGGAAGCAAAGAACCAGTGTCTGTACAGATAATGGATCTATCTGACTGCAAATGACAGAAAACAGTTAAATCTCCATTATGCATGCAGTGATATCTGATGAGAGAGAGAGAAAGAGAGAGAGGACCTTTATTGGGATGTTGGTTACTGAATCAAGCCAGGTAATTGTCCCTATATTTAAAAGTGATAAAGGTTAAGAACCAAACAGCTTGCACAAGTTGCCAAGTGAAAGTGATGGATAGTAACAAATAAACCTGGATTAGTCGGGCGAATCAAAGCGTAAGTGTTTACTTCTATGGAAATGCCGTTGGCAATAATGAAAGTAAGTCGACGAATCTTCCGTTTCTTGAACATACGCTTTCTCAATTGTTCTTTCATGTCTTCAAACCTTATGTTCAAATTGTCATCAGCAAATATAGCAGTGAAATGCTTTCTAAAAATAACAAGACCGGATAAAGCACAGCAAAAACTTATCAACCTACAAATGAAATAACATCCGGTATTTACATTTTGCAGATTAGATTTTCGACCCATTTAGCAATAGTATCACTGAAATCCTTAAAATCATGCACAAGCTGAAAATGCATGCAAATAAGCATTAATGGCACAATCTAAAACTTGGTGAACTAGAACCGAATTATGTAAACACCAAAAAGGCATTACAAATGTCAACTGATGGAATGTAATACATTTCTCTGCACACAAAACATCCACAAAGCACCCAATCAGGTGGAAACAGATATTGGTCAATGTATGTAATCAGCAACAACATAATACCCAGTACATTCCCAACTCTGTTGGGTCTGGAGGCTCATATAAGCAGCCTTACCCCTGTATTTCAATACAGAGAGGCTGTTTAAGTACGACGCAAGATGCATTGGTGCATTTGATGTATTGATTTCCAGCAACTTCACTAAAATTAAGAAGCACCAGAAATTTAACTGAACCATTTTGATATAGACCCTTATTGGCAACAAAAAGGAAAAAAAATAACTCATCAACTGCACCATCTTTAATTGAAAGATATTTTTCTTTAAAAAATGCTATGTGACGAATAAGAGATAGAAGATCAACATGCCAAGAAGGAAGAAACAAAAGGACTTCCCAGTCACTCAATAATTTGATTTAATCACATAAAGACAGATATAAAGCGAAAACTTGAAAGAAAGAACCAAACATACACAGAAGTTCAATAATTAAAATGATAATTTTGAAATGACTTATGATCACTAGCTCAGCTGTGAGGAATGAGCACAGGAAATACCAGTCATTTGATAACTGGTTAAATTCTTCAGATGTAGAATCTACAGTGAACCTCATTTTTTGGTCTATAAACGCCATGCATATGTTTCTGGGAGCTTTTAAGCAATAATTTCAGTTCCACGGGTTTAACGGGCCACAAGTGATGACTTTAAGTTCATAACAGTCATTAATAACTACAGACCAGATTCATTTTTGCACGTACATAGGCTAAGGTGCGTGAGAAAATCACTTTCTAATCGTAGGCTATAACTTCTGGTCAAAGTTTAACACAGTCAATAAAATATCATTTCAACTGAGCCTCAAGATTGACCATGATATAACCAGTAGGATCTTGCCAACAAGCTGAACCAGAAGGACTAGAGATAATAGGTGCTCAAATAATGGAGCCCTGTCTGTTCAAGTTCGAACATTCACAGTTGAATATTTTGCGAAAAAAAAGTATTCAAAGGGAATCTTCATTTAAAAGGAAAAAAAAAAATTACTTGGAGCACTCAATTTACGAAGGAAAGGGACTCTAGTATTGCTCACCTCTCTCCAGCCAAGGCCGTAAACTGAGTGAGTTCATCGCCTTCAAGTCCAAGTAATTCCTGTTTTCACGAGTTCGTAACATTATGATACCATATAGTAAAATGGGTACAGAAAAGAGGTCCAACTAATGTTCCCACATACAGCGTAGAACAGATTCACATGAAACTCACGATCTTTTCCCATCAGTGGGAGAAGTTCGATGGAAATACCAAGATCTTGAGCATCCTGCAAAAGACAATGCACCACCATTAGAATGTTACTTATTGATAATTTAATGCAAAAGGATACACATGTATGGGAGAATTCCATCATTACTTTTGCACGTTGAATTGTAGTTCTCATCATATCTAGTTTTGTTACTCCTTTGATAGTACTGAAAGGATCATCTTCATTGGTAAGTAGAAGAATTCTTTTATCAGTTGTTTTTGCAGAACTGCACAAATTCAATAATCAAATCAAAGAAAGCTTGGTAAGCTCTACTAATACTGTGTAAATCTAATCCTAAGACAGAGATGAGCAAAAAGATATACCCTTTGCGAAGCAGAGCTTGAGCAACCCAAAGAGCATTATAAAGAGAATTGTCTCGAGATCCAGGAACGATGCCATACTTGCTCCCAATTTCAGAACTAAATTTTACTGCGAGGTAGAACAAAAACTATCATTACAAACACTACACATCTCCATGTAACCAAATAAATAAATAAATGAATAAAATTCAAACTTCACTTATTAATCACATATTAGTACCTGGACATCATTAATTGAGATCAAACTATCAATTAAGTGTTCCAATTATGAATATGAAAACTACAAAACCAAAAATAATGAATAAATTTTGGTTGTGTCATTGCACAAAACTTTTCTAATCCAACATAAACCCAAAAACTTGCCAATCTAAATGTACTTTACCTTCAAGGGACTCGAATTCTTTGATAAACCTTGCAGTTATCCTGTCTAAATCCTCTCGTTCAGCAACATTAAATACATAAACACCACTCAGGTCTTGCAAATTCTTTTTTTCTTTCTGCAACATGTAAGAAAAAGTTAAATGCGTACAAAGCAGAATAGCTGAACCAATAATGCATGGTAGATGGTGCAACTCGGTCAAAACTTTGAATACCAACAGGACGTAATGCATTCAGATCAAAGCTACAGTGTTCCAAGTAAGTCTTTTGTTTCTGACACATCCATGTTTCTAAAGTGTATGTCAAAAACTATGACGCATGATATTGATTCTTTATCAGAAAACTGTTTCATCAATCATACACACTCCATTTTTTTGGGTTCAGAGATAACTTTACTTTCAGAAAATTGTCATTACCTGAAGAGAGTGACCAGCAACATAATGTTTCATTGAAGGAGCAGATATTATCAAGTTCACACAAAAATGCTCCGTCATCCTCAAGTGGATAAACATATAAGGTGTTTCAACTTTCTAGCGTTCCCTTGTTAATACAACCATATTTTACTCTTAATTATGTGGAGCAGTAGTGGACAGGAGACAGAAATACAAATAGAACTACGGAGATGTATCTAATAAGAAATAGCAAGCCATGTTCATATGGAGCCTGATATCTTACCGTATTGAAGAAGCATATTGCAACTTCATCATAAGATTTATTAATGATTTGAGTCTTCAGTGACTGTGTGATGCAACTGATTGCCACTTGAAACAGTGACATGTCTTTTTGATCTTCCTGAAACATTCACAACTATCAACATAGGTGTTCTGATGATTGAACTCTAAAGGATCAAACCTTTTTACAACCTTAAACTCATATGCAACCAAACCAAGTATCACCAGTATTATCTCAAATCAATTCATTGAATTGAAAAAACAACAGTGATGAGTCCATAAATGCATTGCTCAACAATCTAAACGTCGAAGATAGAATGGAGAATAGAAAGGTTATACATATCATTGGTAAGATTACCAATAGCTTTCCGTTTTAAACTGAACCTAAAAAGAAGATGATGATGATATAAACTTAAAAATCTGTTTGAACTTATATTGAAATAGAAACAGATTGCACTCCAAATGTCTCAATCCATGCATCCACTAGTGCAGCTACAATGCTACAAGAACAAGAACACTCCCATGCAACTTCATAAAATGAATTGATAGGACTCATTGACTTTTTACATTCATCTCAGAAGATGTAAGTAATCAATTAACTAATGACTTATGTGTCTATCACCATATATTTGGATTAACCAATATTAAAACCAGCAAATCAAAAACTTGACTTCTATTGCAACTGAAAATGATATCCATTTAGACATTCTAGCTTAGATATATACATTTGATACAGTTCATCTTCAGTCATCATGTGCCCAAATTCAAAAACAAATTAAAACAGCCCTATTGCCAATATCAATATCAGGACAAGCATTCCCAAATTATTTATCCAAATAAAACATTACACAGAACAAAAAACAAGTACAAGCCTCAAAACCCACCACCCAAAACCCATGAATAAGAGAATTAGGCACATAAATTAGAGAACCGAAAGGTCTTACTGAAGGGCAAGTAGCAGAGAACATCTTTGGGGAAGCATCCACTAAATAAACTAACAATTCTTTAGTCGAATCCTTTCCCTGCCAAAAAAAAAAAAAAAACAAAACAAAATAAAAAAAAAAACAACAGTTACAAAATGGGATTTTCGAACTCATTAAGATATTATATGAAGAATCAAGGAGAAAGAAAAACGGACCAGGTAGAATTCGTTGTCTGGGTCATCTTCATCATCTCGGAAGACATCTTCAGGGTCAAGGTCCATGGCTGCTGGGGGAGCGAGTGAGATTTTCCCGGGGAGAAAAACGACGTCGTGGCAAAGTTTGAATTTCTTCTTTGATACGCTCTGCAAACTCTGGAGAATTCACACAAGTATAAAAGCCCGCGCCTTTGGTTAACGGAAGTGGGGATTTACAGGTATCCTACGAAATGTCGATAGTACCCTTCGTTCCACAATTTTTGTTTTCTTTTGTTTAATTTTTCTTTTTTAGGTGATTTTGCAGTGCCAAATATTTGTCATTGAAAAGCATTCAAAATAATATTTAATTTTCTCTTTAAAAAAAATAAGTAATCTATCATGTATATATTAAAATATTTGTTAAAGAGATTTTGTGTTTTACAGAAATAATAAAAATAAGCGTCACCAAAGTATCTATTTTACTGTGTCGGCCCAAAATTTCTAAAGAAAGACATATATAGCACATCAAATATATTTATGTTTCTTTAACAGAAGATTCTGATGACACAAAATGAAATATATATTTATTAATAACACATCACGTAATTTTTTTTTATTTTTGTTACATGATGTAATTGGGATTGCATATCCTAAAAATATCCGAACACGTAATTATTTTTCTGAAAACTCCCAGTATAACTACTGTATAAGTTAAATTTATTTTTGTTTTAGTGGATGAACTAGATAACACTGTCAAAGCAAAAATATTTGTCATCAAAGTACATTTAATCCAAAATATACAACGCAATGTCAAACGGTGGATTAGTCTAAAGTTCCATGACTATATTAGTTAGATTTACACTTGATTTATTAAGTAGATTGCAAAATAATACATTTACACAAATATTTAATTCTCCTACTCATTTTTGTTGTTGTTTTTTTGTTTTTGTTCTTTCTGTATACGCGGATCTGAATTGAAATGGAGTCAGCAAAATTGTCATATCGCCTTTGACATTCTCTAGAATCTCCAAATTGAAAGTGATTATTGCGGAGAATATCATTTATGCTAAAATATATATATATTCTCTCCGTCTTATTTTATTAATCTACTTTGATTTATTGAAAAATAGTAGTACAACAAAGTGCACTATGTAAGACGGACTGAGTACTTTGATGTGGTTACATGGAATGGAATCCATCGCAGTAAGAATGCATACATTTTATCCATTTTCTTCCTTTGGGGCTGAGCCATTATATTAAAACACAACTCAAGAACTTTGATACTACTCTCAAGTACTATCAACCAGGAAAAGGAACTTCAACAAGTAGTCCCATATTGCTTGTTTCATCAGCAATCCATAAGATGCATATTATATCCTAATTATTGTGAAGCAAACTAATCATTAGTTCATAGGAAAGATACAGAACGTAATTAGTTAGTATTCCTTCCCTCCCATTTATAAATGTCTACTTTGTTGCGCTATTTTTTTTTTTTAACAAAACTTTATTATACTGTTATAGTCAGCAGATAAAACTCTAGTTTAAGAAGAAGAGAATACATATGTTTATTACTGATATTCTTCACCCATTTTTATTCACAATAGCCGGAGAAGCTTTCGCAGTTCTGAGGAAAACAGTGCCCTACATGTGGTCCGCCTTCCTTCCCAAAGTGCACTAGAAACAAGCGCATGATCGCTTTTCACTCGATGATCAAGTCTCAATGTACGGCCTATCATCTTCTTGTTGTATCTCACTGCTACTGGTTACTGGGCTGTCGCCGTTTCTCTCTACACCGCCAGCTTCAGAGATTTTCGTAATCCTCTGCAAATCATCAGAAATTTCAGAAGAACGATTCAGTAACTGATCATCAGTCAACTGTTCCCTCTGGGACAGCGGTCTTTTCGGCTGCCGAATAGCGGCAGCTGCTTCGGCCATCGCAACAGGAGGTGGTTGAGGTGGAACCCAGGATCGCTGAACTGGCCTTTCAGTTAGAATTGCAGATTCAGCCTTGCTTTTATCTTCAGTTTCAATTTCGGTGATTCTAGCATTCTTTTGTTGCCACCAAGGGACTGAACCATCTACATTTGACTGAGAAGTTTGAGAAGCCGAGTAAACTCCATTACTATTTTCCTCAAAATACTGGAAACCATTGGTAGTGCTACTCTGAGATTGACCAATCTCCCAAGGCTATTCAAAAAAAGGATTTCGGAGTTAGCTACAGAACTTAAAAGTGCTCTCGAACAGGTTACATATCATCTGGCCATGAAAAACTTGAAAACAACATTTTGCTATATCAATTGTTATCAGATTACAAGTTCACATGCATATTTACATAGGTAATCCTTTGACTGATGATGACTGAAGCAGGGAAGCAGTCTGTAAATAATTAACTATTTAGAAAGAAGCTAACGAGCCAGGGAAACACCATTTCTTTTAGTGCACAAACACCACTTGGAAAACTGGGGGGGCTAGCCAAGACGTACTGGAATTTGTCTTGGGAAAGAAGCAAAAGAAAAAGGAACAGCATATGAAAATATGAAGAACAAAAGTTGATCACGGGCATACTTGGCAAAAGATAAATTCATCTTTCACGAACAACTTGATCTGACCAACATTATTTTTATTTACACTTTTTTCAGCAAACTTAAACATAAACGGTAGGCTTGTGAAAGTGGGAAGGAATTTTAAGTTAAAATGTGGTGGGTCACCAATGACGAGTGACGTTGTAAAAGGTAAGGTAGTTATCGGGTTTCATAATTGGCCACAGAGCATCTAAAAAGCAACAGGCACTCAAAACTGGCTTAAATTTTCCGGTTGGAGTTAGGTTCCATATAGTTTATGCTGTTCTATATTTGGATTCTTTGAAACATTTCATTTGATCAAATTTAAGACACAAACCTTGGGTTTTGGTGCTAGACGAGGATCTGATACGGGCTGATTGGGATTAGGAGGCTGATCATTTATCTCCTGAGACAACAAATAAACAATTATTAGGTGCATAAAGAAACACAATGGTACAAAAAATCACTGAAATTATCAAGGCACACAAAACAGAATTGTCCTGAAAGCATGAATGAGGCTATACTCTGATGTTGGAGGGTCGCTCTCCTCTTTGAACCATAGCCATTATCTGCAACAAAAATCGGATATGATGTTGACGGAACGGAACATGTACAAACTTTCTTGAAGATTTTGGCCCATATATTTACATTATGTAGTAGAAACAACAAATGTACATATCATATATGGTATGTGGCAGATTAGTTCATAAGATGCATTATTTGCAGGGTTCATTGCATTTTTTTTTTTGAATTTGTTTTTTCCACAATGCAAATTATGCAGTCTTGTACCTTGGGCCACAACCGAAACAGCCTCTTCATGTAATTACAAAGGTAAGGTTGTGTGCAACTAACCCCCCAGACCCCAACTTGGTTGGGACTATACTGGGTATGTTAATGTTGATGCATTAATGCAGTCTATGAAAGCATTAAACTGCAACATATCCGGACATGTACCTATTTCTACACAAGTGATATACAACTTCTTCAACTTTCACAAGAGTTTCAACTTGCTTGTAGCTTTAGGCAATTTTGCTAAATTTATTTCTACTCAATTTGTCTAAGTTTTTCTTTCTCAAGTAGTTTGAAAAATCATAATCCTATGCAGACTTTCCATCTTCTTCATTATAATTGCTGAAGCATGTAAATCCGATTAAAATTCTCTGAGGCTCCCTCATATGTATCTCTTAGTGCCTTTCTAAAATCTACTTAGCTAGGATGTAAGAGAGAACAGGGAATACGTTATACTATGATCCGTGTAAGTAAATTTAAATGGGTTTGAGAAGAACAGAGGCTTAATAACTTCAACAAGGTAAGTTTGTCATGACAAAGTAGCTGTTTTTAAAAAATGTTTCACAGTTTGACATTCAAAATACACATAACTCTCCATAAAGGCAATTGACCAGCCATTTCAAGAGAAAATGCATGCAAGAGAAAAACCAATACAATATTTGTCAGATCTTTTATGACTTCCTAAAGAAAGGATGGGACAGAGGGCACTAGGAGTTGACAGAGACCCTGGGAAAACCTTGAATTAGGCCCACACAGGTCAGTCAGAAACACTAATTTTCAGCAACTAAGGAATAAATTCCTCCCAACTTATTAGCAGAGATTTTTTATTGCACTAATTAGAATTATTGCCTTCGCAAAAATTTTTGCCAGACCAACCTATAAATTAGGCAGTGAGAGATGTAAATTAATCATAAATTAACCATCAAATCCAAGATGGACAAGTAAACTACAGCACGCAGTGCCCCCAATTTGTTGTATCACTTATGCTGAACTACACCCGAATGACTGCTATTTCAAAAAGACGAACACAAGAAGCCTAGTGACCTAACACTCTTGAAAATATTGATAAAATGATTTAACAAAACACTCATCAATAAGCGAAATGGGACGATGTATCACCTCCATATATGACTTTGGATGAGGAGCAACAGAAGGCTCCACAGAAGGCGGGGGTGACAAAGTCCCTGTGCATAAATTGGAATCATATGTCAGAAATAAATCTAAAAAAACTTATATTTATAAGTAACTGCAATGATGACTTTGAGATAGAATCACAACCTGACCGAATGTTGTTATCCACCTTGTCATTCCCGTAATATTGCTAAGAACCATACAGTATGAATCTCATGTCAAATAAATAGAAACAAAAGGAATAAAGAAAAAAGATTCAAGTGACAAGTATAGCATACCCTTGAATTATTGATTGAGGGAGTTCTATCAGCTCTTTCTACTGGAACAATGCCTCGAGCAATATTGCTCTCTCCTTCAATGAACAAACACAAAAGGAACCCAAAACATCTCGGTAAGATTGACACAGCATATCAGTCATTAAAAGGAAATCCATAAGAAGAAACACTTCCAAATCAGAAAATTTGTTTTGAGTACTAAAGCCTCATTCTACCCAGAACAATATTCTGACACAAGATTTTCAAGTCAATCATTATTTTCCCAAACATATAATTCCCTTTTTCTTAACATGGCAGATGTAGACTGGTCGCATATTGTCCTTCAGGTTTCCAGTGCTATTGACCAACGAGCGTTAAGAACTTGCAACACTCACTAGTTACAGTCAGCAGCACTAAGCAAACCTATAGAGAAAGGGCAGCATTTCGAAGTTGGCAATAGGTGAGCTATAGAGTATTGTATTCCCAACTAAGATCTGGGCTGCTTTTAAAGATAAATTGCTAAAGGGAACATGAATATATTACAAGAGTATATGAAGTCAGTATCCAACCACAGGCAAAAAATTTGTTTGTTCTTGGTAATTCTTATTGTACCCATCCAACACACCTCAACATCTTTGCTGCTTTTCAAGACTTATAAAATTTTTAGTCCTTTCAAGAGTTAGCTTACTGGACATCGACTTCAATAAGGAATGTGAAATCTGAATCATACTCTTAGTAGGATTCAATGAGAAATCTAAATCGGAGTTGGCTTTAGCTAGTAAACTAATCTACAAGTTGAGTACGGACCCTATATTAGATAGTTCTACACTTGGAAATTCAACCATTTTTAGCTTGATAGAAAACTGATTTCTGCAGCAGTATTTTCCAGAAGGACCGCATCTGTATCTTTCCCTTGGATGTGATGCCTAAAGGCCCTTTGGTCTAATAACAAAGCATTATAGGAGGGATATTTTAGAGAAAGCATATTTTGTAACACAGGTACCAGCTTCCTTCCCTTCAAATTCTAGTTCGCTGCTTTCCCAGCCCTAAGAGAAAGAATTCTATGTTCACTTTGAACATATACTTCTGCCTCACAAATTGACCAGAAGTTCCTTAAATTTCAATGTTTCAGATGCACCAGAAGAGGTCTTACATGAATACAAGAACGACGACAACACCTACGCTTTCTCCTACCATGAAGGCGCCATCGTGCCATATTAATTAACAAGGATGGCGCCATATTAATTAACAAGCTATTTCGTTCCAAGCAAATCACATCCTTTCTTATAAGCTTATTTCCAGCTCATTTCAGATTTTCACTTCCCCTTTTAACTTGAGTTAATCATTCCAAGTTTTCTGCCTCAGTGAAACATCTACCAGTATTTCATTCACATTTCAAAGCCCCCTCAAGCACATTCCCCTTGTCTATTAGGACCTCCTATAATGCATTTGATACCAACGCTATGCACCAAATTTTGCCCACACATCCATCTCGACATTCTTCATTCTTGTATCTACTTGACCAATGTTCCTACCATAAATCATCCTTTGTATACTGGCTTTTTAAAATAAAATTTCCTTTTCAATTTCAATGGTACTTTATTGTAATAAAGTATAGAGGCTGTAATATATACAACTCTGTATTGCGGTGCTCAAATATGGCATACAAAAGCTAAATGAAAAATCTCACTGCGACAATAATCAAACAACAATGATCCTAAACACCTTGAAACAAAATGAGAGCAAAAATGACCATTAATTTTTAAGAAGCTCACAAAATCAAGTATGAAAAGGTTCATGACTTTAGCATGTGAGCGACAAAAAGTGAATAGGAAGATCAAGAGGAGATGGCCAGATGGGAACATTAGTAACTGCCAAATATAAAATGAAAGAAGAAATTTTCTTCAAAAAGGTATTGAAACTAAACTCTGTTCATTTAATAGGTCAGTAACTCATTATCTATGGCTATTAGTCTTTTACAGAAAACGGTGAACAATAGTACCAGTCCAACTCTTCAACTAAATCAGTTTCATTCTCACCAATTCCAGGTACACCGGAAATGAAACTCTACCAATTTCAATGACTTGGAGAACATGTGCTAAATAATGAGCCACTATAGTACAGGTCAACATATTATGATGCCAAATTTGCTCATTGAGGAGTACCAACTAATATAACCCAATAATTATGATCCTTTTTTTTTATACGCGAAGAATCCCAGCAGAAAGAAGCAATATTGGAAACATTGAGAAGCTATCGGAAGAGCTAGTAACATGTGGGAAAAGAATATGACAGCTTAAAAACATATATTAATATGCAACCATACCTTCCAATTTTTGTAATGTATTACTCATGGACTTCATTTCACGAATTTGAATGTCTAAAAGGCTTGTGAGCTCTGAGAAGTACCGCTTCTCTGGAAAAAGCATGAGTTAAACTATGTTTAGTCTAAGGACAAACTAAAGACACAGTACATTTATAAAATCTTAATTACACACGCTAGATTGCAAAAATTGACCTTCTGTCTTTGCAACCAACATTTCCTGGCTTGCCCGAGCCACATCAGCAGCAGCCGCTGCTGCCGCTTTTGCAGCAGCTGCTGCTTCTTCTGCTGAATCTGGCTTTTTGTTTACATTTTTAATGAGTGATTCGCCCTCTTCTTCCTCCAACACAACCTTGCGAATCCAAGACTTCAAACGGGGAATGATGCTTTTCTACATAAGAGGGTGTCACCAAATAACACTATTAGGCTAGAAAAAGTAAATCACTGGAGATAGAGGATACTCCAATGCCAAGTTGATAAAGGCAAGAAAAAAATATCTATCAAAAGCCTAGAACTCCCTCAGTCCCAAAATGATTTTCCAGTTTAGATTTTCATATTTAGTACAAACTGCACTATCATTTTGGATCGGAGGGAAGTTTTGGGCATTCAGCAATAACATTGAACAGAACAGAACCATTATGCAAATGATCTGTCTCAGTATAACACAATACCTTAAAAAGTACCGCTGATCCAGCCCCAGAAATAGCTAATAAACCAACAGCAAGGAAAGCATGAGACCAGTGGAAACGAGAAAGGGTCGCCAATTTCGAAACACCACCGGCAGATGCAACTGGTGCTGGCTGCACAGCTTGAGTAGATGTTTGATGCTGAATAGGCAATGATGATTTCAGTTGTCCATCTATTGACAAGCTCATACCAGACAGATAGAGTCAATTAGCACAAGCAAACAAACTTGATAATCAAGTCTATAGTCCAACCAAAAGAAGACTAGTCACCTTGACTTGGAACAACTGGTGGTGAAGTTGTAGCACTGGGGTTGGAATCCTGCCAATATCATTCAAACAAATTGACAAAGTACCCATGAGTTGAATAATTCGAATGGCTACATAAGAGGGAGTGTGTGTTTGTGTGTGCGAAATTGAAGAAAGTTTTTGAAAAGACTGCGAACTTACTGGAACTCGGCGAAAAGCTTCATCAATCTCCTCCTTCGTAAGACCCTTTCGTTCAAGAAATGACCGCCTATACATAACAGGAGACCCCCTAACTTTTGGATGTGAAAGAAACTTCACCGCATTCTGCACTTGGTCCTCTCGAATTGGTTCCGAATTCACAAAAACAGAACTCTGCGATTTCTCTTCTGCTGCTGATGGAGGAGAATCAGCCTTGGCATCGTCCATCTGTTCCTCCTTAGCTTTTGGTTCAGTAGCCAGCGAAGCTGCAATTAAATTGGGGAATCATGAAACTGGGAACTTTCACTATTCTTTGTGCAATCCGAACCCGGAAATTGAAATTGGGAAAAGAAAAATGATAACAAAAAGATTTCATAGCTCTGTTACCTGGACTCGCCATAGCTCTTTGATCCAGTAGTTGTTGACGAGAGAGGGGGAGAAGCAGAGAAAGAAGAAGAAGATAAGAGGCGGCAGAATAAAGAAAAAATTGAATATGATCCAAATTTTTATATATTTAGCAAACTCACCCCAAACGTTTCATCTTCTTTAGCGCTCAAAACATATTACCCTCCCAAAATAAAAAATGGACAAAACACACTTTTGGTCCCTAAAACTATGGGTTCACAACTTTTAGTCACCATTAATTTTTCTTTTACAAAATTAGTCATCATCTTTTCGTTTATTCAACAGCTTTAGTCAATTTAATGGTCAACTAACGGTCAAATTTTTTCTCCGTTAAGGTTTTATATTTTATTAATTTTTTACTAAACTAGGACCCACAACATATTTTCAAACAATAAAATCAGTCCCTAGTATTTTTTTTTCAATAATTTTAGTCACTTACAAAGAATTTTCAAAAAATTTAATGGCCAATTGAATTTTTCTTTGAATCTTTATTTTTTATTGATTACTTATTGGATCGTGGGTCCCATAGGTCCTTGATCAGAATTTTTTTTAAAAAAAAATTAAATGAATTATGAAAATATTTCCAAAATACTTGATCAGTATGTTGGGGTTTAGGAAGTTGGTCAGAAATACTTTAATTATTCTTTTAATTTATCTTTTTAAAAAATAATCTGATCAAAGACTTGTGGGACTCATAATTCATTAAATAATCAATAAAAAATAAAGACTTAAAGGAAAATTGAATTGGGCCATTAAATTTTTGAAAATTCTCTGAAAGTGACTAAAATTGTTAAAAAAGAAGATACTAGGGGACTGATTTTGTTGTTTGAAGATACATTGTGGGTCCTATTTGAGTAAAAAATTAATAAAAATAAAAAACTTAACGAAGAAAAGAGTTAATCGTTAGTTGACCATTAAATTAATTAAAACTGTTGAATAATAAATGAAAAGATGGTGACTAATTTTGTCAGTAAAAAATTAATGGTGACCAGTTGTGACCCCCCATAGTTTAAGGACCAAAAGTGCGTTTTGTCCTAATATAATTGCTGCTGAAATCAAGAGAAATAAAGATAGTTGTGTTGGTACAGAAATGTCCTTAGCTTGTTAGAACTATAGCTATGGTAGTAAGGGTAGATTGATTTTTCTATACTGAGGTTAGTCTTTTTTTTTTTTGGGAAAAGAGGTGATTAGTCAGTTTCAGCCCATCTTAATCTGTATATACTCTCTAATAAGCAGCATTAATGAAAGAAGTAATCATACACATATAATCATTTGGAATTAATTTTGATTTTCGATTTCTTTTCTCCAAGAACTCTAGTTCATCAAGAGCCAAATCTCGCTCAAGCGAAATTAGTGAATAAAAAGTTCGAATTGTCTGGAAACCGATTAAGGATTGTCAAGAAAGCAGAGGAGACCGTAGCATTGAAGTAATTGAGAACCAAAACGCAATCGATCCCTTCCTCTCTCACTGCCCTTCCTCCTCCGCGCATGCTTTCCACCTACAATGCATCATGATCTAAGAAATTTATATCATGGTTTCCTAGATTATTTATAGCTTCTTCCAGCATTTGGCGCATCCTTTCTGCAGGTCAGCAACTTGTTCTTGAAATTTTAACATTCTCTGGTTTTTTTCATGTCTAATATAGTGGCGTTGACATGGGCTTAAGGGATTAAGCCGTGTTACTATTTAGTCGTTGTGACTATCGATTCTAGGGTTTTAGTTATTTAATTATGGAATTGTTGGATTCGGTTTTGTATTCTGTGTTGGTTATTGATTTTTCTGTAAATCAATTGCTCCTTTACATTACATCTGGAGTTCAATAACCATTAGGGTTTAAGGTTTTGGTTGATATTTTAATTGTTTTGACTTTTAGTGGTTCCATATTGACTTTTGGAATAGAGGATCAAACATTCGGTTAGTTTAGTTGGGGCCGTTTTCAGATTGTTGGCAGGTAGAACAATCAATCTTGATAGCATTCTGGTAGTGTTTTTCTTTCACCCTTTTGAGCCCCTTCAAGTTATCTGAAAAGCATGTACTGGACCACTTGAGTTTTCTGTGTATTTCTTTTCCCCTGTTGTTTAAGTTAGCTCTGAATATTTGAGAAGACAATTCCAGGGTTTTTTTTTCAGCCCATTCAGTATTGGGGTTTAGAATGTTAGTTCCAACTTAATTATCAGGAATGCATACTTGAACAACAATCTCTCTGGTTCTTGCATTGAATATTGTCTATATTTTATATGGATCCTTGATGCATGTTATTATTTCCATTGACCTCAACTAAAAACAGGTGACACAAAGTGCATGTTTGGGTTCTTTGAATTGCAGATAAAAAAATTGTTGAGAAGGGGGACCAACATCCGATTTGCTATGTTTTATTTAGCTTTTTGAAATAATGTAACCTGATTAATGCATAATAAGTTTTGTTCTAAATGTAAGATGCTTGACACTAGACTCATTAGCTACTGTATATCTAATCTAATCAAGCTGAAGATCCCCCCACGTGAACTTACTTTGCAGATTACCTAGGTTAGCTAGTGGGATCCGAGGAAGATTTGGATCAGTACCAAGACGAAACAGGTGATACAATCGAATTTCTTGACTTCCATGAGAGAAAAAGACATTTGGGGAACGTGAGGATCGGTAGCGACCTTAAGGTGGAGATTACAGATGATGTTATGTGGTGGATAAGTAGAGAGGTCTGGCTACTTGGCGCCTTATCTGTCTTTTTGTCAGTAGCGGCGGAGGTGCTTCCCCAATTTGCAGTTGTTGGGAAGAATTACTCTGTCTTCTTTCAGCACCCTGAGGATGTGATGGTATTTGCTTTGTCGGAAGTATCCTACATGAAGTCCAGCTTTACGTTCTTGAGTTGGATGTTCATCCTTGCTGGTATTGTTTTGTGTGCACCTCCTTGGTTTGAGATCTATTTCCAAGTTATTCCTTTGATGTTAAGTTGGATAGGAGGACTATGGGATTACATTTGCAAGCAGCTCAACTATCATCTCCTTTTATATACATTTTTAGTTGAATTAGTGGAGTTTGTATCTGCAATACTCTTTTTGTTATATCTCCATGCTCGATACCTGGATGGAAAGGTCTCAGTCACGTTCAAAAATAAGCACGGTCTATTGTTCGGAGATACTTTTGTGATAGTTGTCATTATTAATGTAGCACTCATGTTGTACTGTTTTGCGAGAGGAGCTACGTTTAGGCGTTTGGTATGGTTAGCTATGAAGATTCTTGACCTAGCTCCACATATGCCCGCTGAAATATCCAGCAGGGAATATTAGATTACTCTGTCGGTTATTGTAGTTCTTGTTGGTGTAAGAGTCGTCATTAAAAGTTATTTTGGGTCCCTTGATGGAAGGAGAAAAGGATCGATTGTAGTGGCTGCTGAGAAGAGGAGTGCTGAAGTTTCTGTTGGTAATGAAGTGGTGGTTGATGTTTTTGAGATAATCTCATATCTTGTACCTTTCATCCCCAGGTTGCATACATTATCATCCCCATGTTCCTACATTACATGATGAGCCAGGAAATCAAGGAAAAGGGTCCCTTGATTTTTGATCAAGGATCTTTTCCTTATATTAGAACAAAATAGCATCTCTTTTTATATGTCAAGTCTTAAATAACAATAGTTTTAACGTTATTTTTCCCAATTCTTTTTGTACAAGGGTTAGAATATACTTTGCCCTTTCTGTTCGGAACTTAATGGAATGCAATAAGGGAATTTGTTTACTGTGGGTAGGGTGGTTACAATATCCATTTTTGAGGTATATCGTCTTAGTGTATTGTGTTTTTATACTCATAGCTTAGCGGGTTCTCTTTTTTCTCTACTTAAAAAAAATTATATTAAGAAAAAATTACATGAAACATAAAAAACTAAACATGTCCTCTGTCTACCAATTTATAGTCCACCATGTAGGTTGTGGATTATTCTGAAAATTAGTACACTTTACAAACTATATTGTGAATTATTTTTCTGATATAGAGGGAGTATTATTTTTTCATATTGAAAGTTTATAATTATTATAATGATAATAATAAAGAAAGTTAAAGAAAGACAGTCAAAAGCCACACATGTCAATTAGTAAAAGAGAATCAAATAACAAAAAATCATACTTCTTACTAAAGCTAATTAAAGTAAGAATTCATTACTATCAATAACTAATTTTTAGGTATATGATTATTCCAAAATAAAATTATGTTCAACAAGTAACAAATATCCCCTAAATGTTGTACAAATGGTGTTACTAAACAAAGATCACATAATAACCAAATTGAACAAATGTTAGTTAACAATGGTATCCTTTATTTATCATTTCTCATTACCGTAACTTAATAGATTGGCAAGCAATTCAATACACCAAAACCAGATAAGAACAGTTGCAAAAAATCACCACCAACATTAAGATCAATATCTACCAATATTGGTCGTTTGAAAAACTCAATCAAACCACAAAAAAATGCTACAAATGCTACGAATTAACAACTGCTGCCGTTGCTAATAGGAAAAATGTTATGATTGATGAGAAAGAGGAGGGCGGTCCAAAGTTGAAGATCCCTTGATAGTATTTCTTGTTTTGTTCATCATCAACAACTTTGCTTGTAACATTAAATCCATGAGTGGAAAAATTTATGGCGTTTTATAGGTATTAAAGACTTCCAAATAAGTAATATGTCAACCCTCTCAAGCTCCGAATTCTTTGCTCATTCTACAACCTTGCAAGTTTGATTTGAGTTAAAAAGAATTTTAGGGAGTTTTATATGTATTATCCAAAAAAAGAACACATATATTAAGGGCCAAATAGAAAAAACTTTCGTCTTAGTCCATGGTAGTCAATAGAGGACAACATGCAATAGAAGACAACAAGCATGATAATTCTTTCAACATTATTTTGATGTAATTGTGATTCCTTTGGACTTTTCCAAACCGTCTGTACGTAATTGATTTACTTGGTAAAAAAATTATATCTTTACCCAAAAAAGAAAAGAAAAGA